ATTTCAACGCAGACTTTAGGGTGCTTAAACTCAGTATATCTGGCTAATTTTTTGGATACTCTTAGGACAATCGCTTGACCTTTAGGCAAAACTGTCGGTTTCACTCAAAGCCCCCGACGAGGGCTAAAAAGTGAACGCCAGTGAAATTCTCTTTATATGAGCTCTATTACGAAAAAAAATTTCCACCGACGATCCCCCTTAATATTTTGTGAGGTGGTAGGAGAACGCCTTGGGGTGTCACAAAAAACTCGGCATACCTGGGAAAACTTCGTAAAGGGGTCAAAACTGACCAGTTGTATTTCCCTAAATAATCTTTGTATTTTATGGGAAAAACAGAGGGTCATTTCAAGGCAGACTTTAAGGTACTTAAAGTCAGTATATCTGGCTAATTTTTTGCATACTCTTAGGTCAATGGCTTGACCTTTAGGCAAAGCTGTCGGTTTTACTCAAAGCCCTCGACGAGGGCTAAAAAGTGACCGCGAGTGAAATTCTCTTTATATGAGCTCTATTACGAAAAAAAATTTCCACCGACGACCCCCTTGATATTTTGTGAGGTGGCAGGAGAACGCCTTGGGGTGTCACAAAAAACTCGCCATGTCCGGGAAAAATCGGGAAACGGGTCAAAACTGACCAGTTGTATTTCCCTATATAATCTTTGTATTTTATGGGGAAAACAGAAAGTCATTTCAAAACGGATTTTAGGGCACTTACCCTGTTTACATCTGGCTAAGTTTTTGCGTGCTTATAGGTAAATGGCTTGGTCGTAGGGCAGACCTATCGGTTTTACTAAAAGCCCTCGACGAGGGCTAAAAAGTGACCGCCAGTGAAATTCTCTTTATATGAGCTCTATTACGGAAAAAAAATTCCTCCTACGACCTTCCTTGATCTTTTGTGAGGTGGTAGGAGAACACATTGGGGTGTCACAAAAAACTCGCCATGTCCGGGAAAAATCGGGAAATGGGTCAAAACTGACCAGTCGTATTTCCCTATATAATCTTTGTATTTTATGGGGAAAACAGTGTAATTTCTACACAAATTTTAGGGTAATAACTCTTTGTATAACTGGCTAATCTTTTGCATACACCTCTATAGATGACTGGGCCGTATGGAAAAATTTAATATTATATTTGATTAATAATTTTTATGAAAGCCCTTTCAGTTCAAATAACCTTGCGAGTAATAAGTTTGCAAATATTCCATCAATTTATGGGCACAATAAAAGTACCCAATTTGTATAAATTTAGGCCCTAAGCACTTAACATAACAGCCAATCACCTTTTAATTAATCATTCAATTTCTCAACTTTTTTGAAAACCTAAGCGAAGCTAGACAGTATGCCTAGTTATGTTCATATTTTAATTGTTCATTTAACAGAAGAACAGCAGGGTTTCCGAAATTAATGTTAAACACTCCTTTTAAAAACATAACTTTCAATAAACAATTTATATTGAGATGAAACTGAAAACATTTTCAATTCCCAAATTTTTTTTAATAATTTAAAGCACAACATCGAAAAGTACAATTATTGTGCCAGAAAATAAGATATGTTTATTGCCTAATGATGCTTAGATAAACAAAGGGTGTCACAGACATCAATTATGTACAACAGGACGCAAATACATAAAATGTTTCAAACAGAAAACATATCATTTATAATATTATCAAGAGTTTGGTAAATTTGCTTTCTTAGTTTCGAGGTCACAATAGAAAGTTTTTTTTCTCTGCTTTTAATGGTTCATTGATAACACTTAACTGCCTCTTCTACAACAATGTTACTTACCATGAATGACCGTGTTTACACTTCGATGTATCTGTATAAAACATATAGGCCTACATAATATATATGGTGCGCGGACCTTTGACCACAGGTGCTTTGACCATAGTGGGTGTGAAAATAGGTGTTTTCTCATCAGAGGGTCTTTGATCACAGGCGGTTTGTCAACGGGTGTTTGATCACAAGCGCTCTGTCCAGCTTTGATCACAGGTGTTTTGTCCATATAGGGTCTATGATCACAGGTGGTTTGTCTAATGCTGTACATATATGGCAAGGATTTATTTTAAAAGTTGCTAAATTATATTTTAAATTGCGACATGATTTAACAATATGTTAAATCATCATGTATAAATTCGTACACCGCCAAACACGTGACCCGTCCTGGCGTTCGCTGTGAAACCAAAATTCATGGCCACGATACAACAAAGTTCTTTTACCTTTTTTGACGTGCTATAGAGTGGTTTAGATGACTTGGTGTCGCGGGAGCAAGTTACCCAGCTGAGAAGCGATACAATAAGCTGCTCCGCTGTGGTCAAACCCCCTATGGTCAAACCCTTATGGTAAAAGTACCTGTGGTCAAAGCACCTAGGACCAATATATACCAATATATACCAATTTTATATTAAACAACAAAATGTATTATTTATTAAAATAAACCGGTAGTGATCTCCCCTAAACTTTCTCGAATATTCTTATGTAAAACAACAGGGGATGGTAACTGGGGATATAGTTATGATTTTTAATCCATTTTAAATACTGAAACTTTTAAAAATAGAATAGAATCTCAGTAAAAAACAATTGCGCACCAAGCGAACGCCTAATAAAGGTGTGTATAATAGTGCGCAATAGTATTAGTACTTAATACATTTACATTAGTTTTTTGAGAAATCGGAAGTAGCGTAAATTACTACTTCCGGTCAACGGAAATTACTCAAAATAAAACAGAAGGTAGAGAATTAGATCTTTTACTTACATGTGAAATTTCATTTATCTATCTGAAATAATACTCAAGTTATAGGCTTTTGAAAAATTCAAAGTAGAAAAAGTACCACTTCCGGTTGTCGGAAATCGCTCAAAAGTTGATACGGATCTACGATTTTGATATAATACTTATATATGAAATTTCATCAACCTAGCTGTAACGGTACTCAAGTTATCGTGTTTACACACGGACACACAGACACACACACACAGACACACACACACACAGACATACGGACAAGATTGCAAAATTATGTTTTTCCGTATCAGTGAGGTGTAAAATGTCGAGATTTGTAAAAATCTCGATTTTTTTTTGCACGATTACAATACTTTCTCTATGCTACGTATATACGAGAAAGTAAAAAAACAACACTTTTTTAATTTTTTGTAACTTTTTTAGTTTACATGCTATGTATATATATATATATATATATATATATATATATATATATATATATATATATATATATATAAACGTTTATACATTCCAGAAAAAAATCTCTGTTGTTACTAAATATTAGTAAAGGTATCCAATAGATAATAAATTGCCCCTTCGCTTTTCTTTTTAGTTATTTAAAGAGTAGTGTGTTATTAATATATTTAACACAAATCATTTGTTATTAAAACGTTTTCTTTATGATTGTTTTGTTGGCGTGCTTTTTGGTAACATTATTCTTGAATCAACTTTACAAGTCTATCCTCTCACTATGAAGTTTAACCCAAATAACTAATTTATCGTTCTTAAAAACGTTTTTATTCTTTTTAAATTTTAAACAAATTAGGAATCATCATTAGTAAATGCACTTTTCTTCAACTAAAATGTTGCTTGTGCTGAAAATATTTTCTTATTTATTCAACGTAATTGCGGGTTGTTGTGTAGTATTTGTTTTGAGGTTTTTTTTAAACTTTATCTTACACAGAGTATAGAGAAATTATTGTAATCGTGCACAAAAATCAGTAGAAATTTTGACAGTTTTTATAGTTTTACAACTCAGAGTATAGAGGACTTATTTTAATCGGGCAAAAATTATCAATCCAGATTTATCAAATTTTTGGCATATTATGCGTAATAGCGTCTTAAACTTTGGGCTTTGCAATTCTGTTCGTATGTCTGTGTGTGTGTGTGTATATATGTGTCTGTAAACACGATACATTGTTTATAACTATTATATTAAATGTGCAGATCTGTCTCAACTTTTCATCGATTTCCGATAACCGAAAGTGTAATTTTCAAAATCCTATAACTTAAACACTATTTCAAATAGATACATGAAATTTCAAATGTATGTGAAGTATTTACTTTTCTACCTTCTGTGAAATTTTGAGTAATTTCCGTTGACCGGAACTAGTAATTTTTGCTATTTCCGATTTCTCAAAAAAACGCATGTGAATTTATAAAGTGCTAAGAATATTCCGCACTATTATGCACATTTTATATGGCGTTCACTTGGTGTAAAATTCTTTTTTCTACGAGATTTTATTCTATTTTAAAAAGTTTAAGTATTTAAAATGGATTAAAATCATGTCTATAACCTGAGTTCCAATCTCCTGTTGTTGCATATAAGAAAATTCGAGAAAGTTTAGGGGAGATCACTCCCAGTTTATTTAAATATTAGAAAATGAAAAAAAAAAGAAATTTTAAGCTGTAGCATTATTAGTTTTCAATTTGAACTGGCGCCCAATGAGGCGGATGAAGTAAAAATACTTTTTAAGCCTGCTCCACCAAATGTTATTCTTCAAGACCTCACTTATCTACACATTAAATATCCGAACCTTGTGATACATTTAGGTTAGCTTGTGCCCTTCCTGGGACATAGACTGCTAACACATAATGCATTGGGTCGGCTTTTATTGTTATTGTAAGTAAAAATGCTTATCAGATAGGCGAAAAACAACTATAAATAATGTACAGCTGGTGACAGAACCTACTCTGAGTAAAATAAAGTAAGAATTTCAAAATATGGCCACATAGCATAATAGACCATTGGATGATTGAAAATCAGAAATCCATGCACAAACGTTTCGGCAATTAGTTGAGAAAGGCCAGATGTTGCCAATGCTTCAAACCTAAGCAGCTTGGTATCAGACGTTTTGCCGACGCTGCCGAAAGGAAACCAGAATTGGTAATCACATACGCGGCTCCACTCCTGTTTGATTTTGGAGTTTGCTCTCCCAATCTGACGACCCTCTGATGGTGCAAACTCAAGACTTTCAATCAGCAAAAAGTAAAAAATTTATGTAATACTAAATACGCCGACGAACAATTAGTACCTTACTTAGCACATGTTCCAGCTTTAAGTTTGTTTGCAACATGCGGGTACACCTTTTCTAAAGATTTTATAAACTCAGGAAAAGCTCTCTGTGGTCCACTATCATGTAAGATGTCTAACAAAACACGAGTACGTTCTTTACTGGATGTTTGTTGCGAAATTTTCATTTGACCTTCCCTGCCTATAATATATTTGGCAAACAAATGATCTGTCAAAAAATCTGCATCGATTTCATCAAGTAAATATTCAGTTTCTCGACGGAGAAGTTGGGAATGATTACTTTGCAAATTTCCATGAATAGGTCTTGTTTGTTCAGCATGTTCTGCAATGATAATAATATGCACAGTGTACATAATATAATGCTAGATTATATATATATATATATATATATATATATATATATATATATATATATATATATATATATATATATATATAAATTACATAGAAGTGTTATAATACATAAATATTACCATGAAGGTTTTGTTCATACGCTGATGTATCTATGTCACTATTTACCTAAAAACAAAACAATGAATTTAAAATATTATAAATTATATGCATTTAAACCTTATACCGTAGCAAATGGAAAAACTAGTACAAAAATAGAATAGAAACGTGTTAAAAGAATGGAGATGTGGTGGAATTTTAGAATTATTTTTTTTGGGGAATTGTATGTTTTAATGTTAGATGTAAATGTTATACATTATGTAATAAGTCTAGCGATGGCTGTTTTCTTTGCGAATGGCTGTGACAGGTTATTCGACTATCCAATGATACAAACAATAATAAGAAAAAACAACTCACATCGCATGATGCTTCATTTGTAACATTCCCTCTGTAGTGTTTCTCTTTCTGAGCTATATCGTTCTCTCTCCTATTTACCTGCACGCTTCGATTATTCGAAGTGTTGCCTGTTTGTGTTATTGTAATTCCATCACGGCTCGTTATATTGCCGGTCAGATTTAGTGTGTTTCCTTTTTGAACTATTACAAATCTGTCATCTTCGAGATCTTCCGACAATTCTTTGGATGCCATAACTGGAACAACGCGACTCAGCTTTTAACACTTTATATACAAGCTGTATATATATATATATATATATATATATATATATATATATATATATATATATATATATGTGCTTTCATTTATGTATTTATACATATATAGAGAAAACAGCAGGCCTATAGAAAACCGGAGCTATAGGCCTACAAAGTTTAATATAACCAATTCAAACTATTTTTCAAACACTTTCATGTTGTCTTAGATTACTCACAGATTCCTGTTGGCTAAAAATAGTTCAGACCGTACACCAAAGGTCTACTGTGCTGTTGTATTCGTGTAGAAGTGACTGTTGAATAAATGTATCAATTCACAGAACTACATTTCACCTGTTGGTGTCTACCCGTCGGACCAGTTTTGAACGTCCCTCGGCTAGATTTAGCCTGAACTATTGATTAAATTACACACTACAAAACCAGTCATGCATAAATTTCTCACCCGACTGTATCAGCTGACTTGTTTGTGTGTGATTGTGTTTTTTCTAAATCAGCCAGTATTTTTATGTTGATAAACGTTTCTATTGTTTAGCTAGTTTATCAACAATTAAATGAAGCACATTTTCAAACCTTTCTCGTTTACATGAAGCATGTCTAAATATAGGATTGGTAAGAATTATGAGTGACAAGTGGTAAGTCAAATAATACCACTGCAATCGCTGCCTGTGTATGCACAGTTTGGTAATCCTATAAATATATATATTCTTTCCTCTGCGTTCTTTTAATAAAGATGTTTGTGTCAGCATACTATGCGACATCTGGCTCGTTGACTCCAATTTAAGTCAGATTATATTTCTGAAAATGCTACTGTTGCATTCGTCCATCTGAGAAGAAACTACATTTTAGCAGTTTTTTTTTTTATATTTTTATTTTGTATTTTTTTCCTAGATGGGTTGCTGTCTACAAATGTTGAACATCATCTACAGGGGGTTCGATATTGAGATTTTTTCGTTTAGCCTGGATTCCAGTGCCAGTAATTGGGACGCTTGCACTTGCTGGCGTTGTACTGGACAACGACGTCTACACTTGGACGGCTGTGTTTATCGGCATTAGTATTCTCAGGCCCTACCATACCGACCCCCTCAACAGCTCTAAACGAGAAACCTATTTAGAATACATATTTAAAAATTGTTTTTATAGTTAGCTACGTTAGAAAGCGTCATATGGAGGAACTGCTGTATAAAACGTTTGGCTGACGCCATTGAAGCAAGGAGAAATCACGTCGACAATTTTCATAATTTAATAAGATTTTAGTCAGGATTTTATAAAAAGTATACAATTTAATTGAGCTGTCCATGATCGAAACAGTGTTTGTAAATGTTTTTTTTTCCAATGTCGTTTACAGCTTTAGAAAATATGAGTAGAAATATTTCCCTGTTGATGTTAGTTGTTTAATGTTATGTTTCTTTCGCCCTCAGTAGCGAAGAGAGGGTAGGGGAAACTTGTCCCCGGGCGCCGACCTTAGGAGGCGCCAAAATGGGTTGGGAAAAATAAATTGAAAGGTCGAGGGGGGTGCAAATCGAAAGTTTGAGGGGGGTTGCAAATCGAAATCTTGAGGGGGTGTGCAAATCGAAAAGTTTGTCCCCGGGCGCCGGGAAGGGTTCCTACGCCTCGGTTCGCCCTCGTTGATTTTTGTTATGACCATGACCAATTTCTCATTTATTCATTATCAAGCAACTTATTTTTCAGTTCATTGATTACTTGCTGCCTAAACTGTGTTAAATATCTGACAGGGAATGTTGTTTACTGGATTATCTTTACCATTATCCAAATCGCAAAATATAAATTAAATGACTTTTTAACTACTGTTATGAACAAGTATGAGGCTTGCTTGCTAGAACGTCCAAGAGTCTATACAGCTCTGGTGGGTACCTAGATTTATTGCGTCTAGACTTTGTAGAACAGAGTAATTAATTTTAAAACATGTTATGTGCTTGTATTTCTTTTTTTTTAATTTTTTCAAAGTATTCAGCTATAGTTGCTGTGTTTACAATTAGTGTATTTTTGGTTTGGAATCGGAGTTGCAGCGGTAATTTTAAGATTAATATTGCTTCTTCCTTCCTTTACTAATATTTATCGTCTAAAAGAAATATAACTTCTATTTTCTTTACTTCCTTTTGTAAAAACACTGACTGTTACATTATTTTCGCTTAATAAATCGTGATTTTAAAGTTTACACTGTTAACTCAGTTGACGCTTTTTTCAAAAATTACCCTACGTTACAGCTCAAACCCATCAAATTTTTTTTATTATAATTTTTTTTTCAATTTTTATAAAATTTTAATAAATGATCATTAGTTTTTTTAAATATCATCAAATTATATGTCATATTTAAAAAAAAACTGTAGGATTTTGTTTTAAGCATTACATCAGGTGTAAAATCATCTTTTTGTATTTTACTGTCAATATGCGATATGTCTGTGATGTAACATTTAATTTGTTTAAATGAAATTTGAAATGCTATTAAACAGTTGATGTGTCTCATGATTTCATGTGTACATTCTTGTCTTGCTGATTTATAAGTTGAAACTTCAGCAAAATAAATCTCATAATCAGTTCTTTGTTTTGGCCTATGGTTTTTTTTTATGTGCTTTCTGGCATGATACAAATGTATACCTACACATTTTTATATATTCGTTTATTAAGCTGAAACAGGCGATTCTGCCCTGGGCTAGACTGTGAGCACTTTGTGTTTATGTTCGCGTTAGTGTTTTCTTTGTGTTTAGGTTGGGTTTGCGTTGGTGGTTGCGTTTTGATTTGGTTCGTTTTTGTTCTTTCTTTTTTCGTTTGTGTTTTTTTCTTTGGATTTGTGTTTGTATTTGTGTTTGTGGTTGGTTTTACGGTTGGATTTGGTTTGTTTTCGTTTGCTTTTTCGTTTGTGTTTTTTTTCTTTGGGTTTGTGTTTGTGGTTGGTTTTGCGTTTGGATTTGGTTTGTTTTCGTTTGCTTTTTCGTTTGTTGTTTCCTTTGTGTTCGTATTGGTGTTTGTAGTTGTGGTTGGGTTTGTTGTTCGGTTTTTGTTTTCGTTTGCTTTTTTTTTGTTTTTTCTTCGTGTTTGTATAGGTGTTTGTGATTGTGGTTGGGTTTGTTGTTAGGTTTTTGTTTTCGTTTGTATTTGTAATTGTGTTAGCGTTATGTTTGCGTTTTGTTGTTTTGGTTGGTTGTGGTTTGGGTGGGCAATGCCGGGTTTATGATGATTACTAAACACACAGGTAATGGTCTTTGACAGAAAGGTTTTTCACAGAAGCCAGAGCAGGGCCTGGCCGAGACGGCTAGTATCTAATAAAACATAACTTTTTCTTCGTATTCTAAAAAGGTAATCTAGCCCGGTGTTTGTAAAAATAGTTCCCAAAATAAACTTTGGAACATATTTTTTTTTTTACTTTTAAATATAGGTGGCAAACAGAGCTTTGATTAAAGTATTTTACTTTTTATGTTGGTGTAGTTTGGTTGAATGTAAGCAACTTCAATAAATCACTTACAGTAAATATATCTAAAATTCGATGACACAGAATGCGATAAATTCAATATATGTCACAAATTCGAAACAATTTCATAAAGACGAAAACCAAATGATCACAGCACTTTGTCCAACACATTCACTTAAAAAATAAAAGATCTTGAGCCTCATTTATACAGTGCAAATAATATTTGATATACAGCTCACATTGTCTTCACACGAGGTGCATTCAAATTAATAACAAATCTAAACGTTATTCTCCGTTACACATTTATTTATTTAGACAATATACGTTTAGGATAAAGTGCTGAAACGTATGAAATACACAGTACATTGTTGAAAAAATGCACATCCAAAGAAAAAAATTCCTAATGTAACAGTAGGGGTATTGAACAACTAAATATGTTTTCTTTTTAAAATGTGTATTTTTGTATGCATTTACCTCAGAAAAGTTTTTTGACACGATAAATGCATTGCTATTGTGTAAACATTTGATGTCGGGTAGGGTACCATGTTTCACATCGCGATGAAAGGATAATTGTTGCCATTAGAAGTTTAAAAGTTTTCGAATAGATGGCGAAATTGTGTTATTCTCGATTTACGATATTTAAGAACATTTGAGACTTTAAAAGTTGAATTTTATCAAAGACTTTCATATCTTCTATCCTGAATTAAATGATGTGTACTGTCACATTAAAATGCGTAAATGTGTTTATTTATCACATTTATTTGTTGCATAACTAATCTGTTTATTTTATTATTATTTTTTTTAATATGTATGCAAAGATATTCAATAATATGTATGTAATAAAAATGGTAACATTACACTAAAAAGAAGGCACGCAGATGGAATTGTATCTCGTGAGCATCTTCACAAAAGAAAAAACAATATTAATAAGATGTATTCTCTACACACTAATGAAGCGAAATGTTGATACTCAAAAAGATTAAAATGACACATTATCTAACACATTCAGAGTTTTATTCACACGAAGAGAACTGTGCAGTTAGATTATTAACAATGTACATTGCATAAGGGTTGGTTTAAGAGTATGCTTATGTTTATGTTTTCGTGTTTGCGTTTAAGTTGTTAGGTGTTAGTAAAGCTAATGTTTATTTTTGTGTTTATATTTGAGTTTGTGTTTCTTTTTTGTTTATGTGGTTGTTATTTTAGATGAATAAGTGCGGAGAGGGGGTGATTTTATGCTTATCTTTGTGGTTGAGGTTAGTGTTTTTATACGCTTTTCCTTGTGTTCATGTCGTTGTTGATGTTGATGTTCATTGTTTGTGTTCATGTTAGTGTGCGTGTTCGTGTTTGTGTTTGTGTTCATGGATGAGGTTTTGGTGAGGGTTAGGGTTTATGTTTAATTTCATGTTTATGTTTGCGTTAATGTGGGTGTTTTTAGACGTAGAAGTGTGAGGAGGGGAGTAGCTTTCTGTCTATGTTCATTTATGTTTAGGTTTGTGGTAGGTCATCGCTAGGGTTAGGTAAATGGTTATATACATATTTTTTTTCTATATTTAAGGTTTATGTTTAAGTTTATTTTTGTTTGTGTTTATTTTAGGTGAAGGTTACTTTATGTGTATGTTTATGTTTTTGTATGTGTTTATTTCATTGTTTGAGCTTGTATTTATTAAGTTTTGATACTTATGTTTTTATTTGTGTTTAACGTTGAAGTGAGGGTTACATTACTTTTATGCTTAATTTTTTGTTGTATGTTTTTTTTGGTATGTTTATGCTTATGTTTAAATTTAAGTTAGTGTATGTGTTTGTATTAATGTTTAAGTTTAAAGTTGAGGTTTTTTGAGAATTTCTGGTTAGGGTTATGTTTATATTTGCATTGGTATTTATGCTCTTGTTTATGTGGTTGTTTTTAAGCATTGAAGTGCAGGGAGTGAAGAGGGTTTAGGTTTAATCTTTTGGTTGCGGTTATGGTGAGTGTTGGTCTATGTTAATGTACTTGTTTATTTTTGTTGTTCTTTGTTTTGAGAGTTAGTTACAAAGTTAACTATATCTATATATTTACTTTCTTGAACGTTGATTTTTGCATATAGACATGTAATTGGAAACTTAATAAATTCCCAAAATCCTGGTAGCGCCAGCTATTTGACGCTTAATAAACACACAAGTCACGGTCCTTTACAAAGTCTGTTCACAAAAGTCAGTGCAGAGCCTGGCCGGGACTGTATATATACAAACTGGTTTGAACATTAAAATGTTCGAACATTACAATTTTAGACATTGAATATAGAGGACTTTAAACAAACGAATATCGATTAAATAATAAGTGTAAGTTTTGTTAATATTCTTTCATACGGACCAAAAAAGCAAAAAGAAAGTCTTTATCAGGATTCAAGGTTAATTTTTCACGGATATAACAATAATTCAAGTTTTTTTAATGCATGCTTAAAAATGTTATACAACCTCATTTTAGGCAAATTGATTGGTTTTCTGTTGTTATCATTTTCAAATTACTTCTTCCAGTTTATGTGTATAAACATGTTTAAAAAATATAATCACTTTCACAATGTATTATGTGTTTTGTTTTAATAATGTTTCAACAAAATGTTTACATTTCCATATTGGTAATAAATCAAATATGACAAGTTGTATGTATTGTGAGACATACGTTTTTAAAAGCTAGTAGGCTGCAAACAGATTCATATTATTCTGTACCTGATAATGTATTCAGGATAGCACAAGTTTTTGTCAAAAATAGCAAAGTCTCGAAAACTTGAAGCATCTTCGATCATTACTGAGCGACATATACCATTTCCAGAACCGGAACTCATGTCTTGTAGTTCTAAAGAAAACGTAATTACTTTTTAACGGTCACAACGTATTTCAATTTTTATACATTACCAAACTATTTGATGTTAGAAAACAAACAAACAATTAAAAAAATCATCATTCTGTACCTGTTTCCCGGTCTTCCGTTTGTAAAACAAATACGTCTCCAAGGATCACCCTAGACAGAAACAAGTAGTTTCTGCCATCTTCTGACGCTGAAATAGGAATATTTTACCTAACAGATTACCACATTTATTATATAATGATAAATCTCCCTGTATATATATATATATATATATATATATATATATATATATATATATATATATATATGTATATGTATATTATATATATTATATATATATATATATATATATATATATATATATATATATATATATATATATATATATATATATATACATATATATATATATATATATATATTTATAATATATATATACATAATAATATACATATATATATATATATATATACTATACCTATATATATATATATATATATATATATATATACTATACCTGTGCGCTGAGATGCTTTCATTGGAGATTCAGAGCACAAAAAGGCTCCTCCAACCATGTTGTCAGGGCCGTTAAAACTACTTTCATTCAGTCCATTCTGAGCTATTGTAGCAACATCAGTTGAATGTGCACCAAAAAAAAAGATAGAACTCGTTGATATCGCTGAAAATTTCTTTTGTCATAAAGCTCTTATCAGTCAGGATTTCAAAGAGCTGAAAATTGTTACATACGGGCATGCATGGTCGACTTAGCTTTTGTAACTGTTTCTTTCTTTGAAGGTCGTACGACATAAAAAGTGGAATGTTTTCGATTCGTTGCACCTCTACTGAGTCAGGGTCAAGCAAAAAGTCCAATCTTGTGGAAATTATTTCACTGATTGCAGTAGCTGTTTCCATATTAACGTCGACGTAAGTTACACCTTGTTGTAAAAGCAATGAATTACTTCTATGGGAAGCATCTATATAACAAGACCAATATGTAGGAATGCAATCTTCAACATTATGGTTTATTTGGTTGGCTCTCTCATCAGGTTGGCCAGGAATAACCTTTTTAATTGTATCTTTAACCATACCTTCTACTGCAGCATACAGTTTGCTAAACATGCCTGGGTCATTGATGTTAGGACCATTCCCATGCTGATTACAACCAGAGCCAATTCGAATAGAATTATTTCCCTCCTGATTAATCGTGTTTCTCTCTTGATGTATGCTGTTTCCATGCTCATTCGTTGTATTACCAATATTGATTGAACTGTTTCCAGACTGATTTATATTGTTTCCTATCTGATTTGTTCTATTGTTTGTCTGATTTACTGTGTTTCCTACATTGTATTCAACATTTCCTTCCTGATTTACATTGTTATCCCTTTGCCAAATTCTGTTTCCTATTCTAGTTATAACGTTTCTATCGTTCGTAATTTGGTTAGCACACTCTTTTCTGCGTTGATATTTTATTTTGAGATAGATCGCAAAGCAAATGATTGCGATGAAACAAAGACCTTCTACAATCATCTTCAGTAATCTTTTCCAATTTATAATGTAATGACTAAGACTAATCTATCCAATGTTTGCTGGTTTACAAGGGTGTTAAAACTGTAAACTGAATAATAGTCTCGAATAAATATTTTTCAAACACTTCATATCACAAATAAATACTTATCGGATTTAATTCAATTATTTAAAATTATATACAGAGCTGAATATACTTTGCATTTAATATCAAATTAGAATAAAGTAACTATTATGGTGTTTAATTAGCAAAAAAAAAGCAATTTAACAATTTTGAAAAGACGCATATGTATTAAGATTCTAAAAACATATATTTTTTAAGCACATAGGCTAGTCATAAGAAAGTCATTGTGCTTGCTTAAGGTACTACTTACAAAGATTGCTGCGAACAATTAATATTATTCAAACACTGGGAACATAAAGCTGGAACACACGTCTAACTGCGCGATTCACGAATACACTCAATTCTCTAAGCAGAGCCTGTTAGAGGTTTACAACTGTCGTCATAACAACATATAAACTATTTATGAACGCTGATCTGTTGTTTCTAAAGTAAATCGTAAATGCGTGACTTATTAGCAATATTTTTCTCAAACCTAGGCCAATGAAAAGATATTGTGGTCACCACTATATTAGCTCTGTTGAATCAAGTAGTATCTTTGACCTCCTATGTCAGGTGCTAAGATAGCCGACGGTGCACACAGGGTGCCAACCGCACATTATGACCCGTTCGCCGCCGCTTCTAATTTCAATTTCAATTTTTTTTTTGAGTTACATATAGTTAAAGCTTATACAGATTTGTAAACTACAGTAGGACCCGAATTTTTGTAAATTATACAACGCTTCTAAAACATATTGAAATAACAAGAACATAGTGTTTTGAAAGCGAGGTTATGATAGGTATATATACAACTATTTATCATTGTTTCAAAGTGATTTTCTTTATCGCACATGCCGATTAAGCAGCCAGTGAATCGATGGGTTTGCGTTGTTGGAGGTTATGCCCTTTCTGTGTTTGTTTATTTATTTTTTGTCAAAGCGCATGCCAGCTTTTCAGCATACTTATTGAAATATTTAACAGCAATGATAGAAGGTGATAAAGATTTATAAAATGTTAATGATATTTAGTTATATAATTAGACATACGTATATACTTTGACACGTTACTTATTTTATTATAGCTAACAATTCTAAATATTCAAAACAAATCTTATATTTTTAACATATATAAGAGCATAAACAACGTACTAAAAATCCTAATTAAAATTCAAAGAGAATTTTTTTTAAAATAACAATTTTAGTATTACCATTATTTTGTAAACTAATAAAAACTTTTCATAAAATGTTTTAGGTTTTTTAGTGCAATATATTTTTATACTTACACTATGGAGAAATCATCGGCAAATGCAATGTTTCATTCAGCAAAGCAATGTGTCTAGTAGATTTCCTTTTGAAAGTACCATTTTAATTATTCACCAGTTAGCTCTCATACAATTGATTTTCTTTTAAAAATAGAATATCCTAGCAAACGAGCGAAACAAGTTCTGAAACATTCATAACATAACACAACAATGGTAACAATGTGCACGGGCTATATGATCGATACATTTAGAATAGCTATGAGAGCGGCCTTGAGTTTGTATCGCTATAACTAGATATATTCAGGTAACAAAATAAAGCAGCATTTTAAATGGATGTAGATTTACAAAGAAAATGTCTCTTTTTTATATATGGTGGTGTGCGAACGTAAGACCCTATTTATGTAAAGGTCTTATAAACAAAAAGTGACTCCTGAAATGGAACAAATGAAGGTGTTCTCTAGTTCTACTATACCATCTCTAATGTGTTCACAATATGTTTAATGTAATCCAATGTTAAATACATTGTCTGCTATCTATTGTGATTTTCAAACCAGCGCTTAAAACGTATTAAATAGATTTAATACTATCAGAACGTGAGTTCGTTAAGATCACCTTGAGTACAATTATACAGTCTAGTATTGCGCTGATAAACATAGGCATGTTCGCTGATGTCTGTCCGTGGAACACACTTTACCAATATTTAATATCAAGTAAAATTTCGTACAGTTCTAAAAAACAAAAATGAAACGGAAAAATGCGCAACTAATAACAGAGCACAAAATACTTACTGTAACGGTGAAATGTTAGTGGAATGTATGTTGGGAGTGTGTGTGTTGAAAGGCGATATTGGATCAGGGAGACAGGGTGACTGTGCGCATGCGCGAGAGGAAGGAACGAGGAGAGAAGGCGAGTAAGAAGATGGCGTAGTCTGATAATGAACACGATGCCTGTATGAACCAAAATAAAGTATGAAAAACAATAGGAACAAGGCTTGACTTGTGGTTTTTGTGTGTGTATTATATAAGGTAGGGAAAAGGCCTGTGACACTTACGCTACGAAAAAATTGCTCTGATATAAATTTACAAAGAGCCCAGAAAAAATACCAAGACAGAATGTAAGCAAACAGAAAAATGTGCAAAGAGAAATTTCAGAACACATGAAAACTTAAGTACACAGAAAGTCTCACGCATATATATATATATATATATATATATATATATATATATATATATATATATATAAGAGGATTCTCGCAATGTGTGTGTGTTTGTGTTTGAGATAGGGAGGCGGCATTCATTAATTTACAAAAATATCGGTATGAAATTTACTTATTATGAATACACACATACACACACAACTCAACTCAAAGGCATACATATCATTTTTATTAGACGATACTTCCGGCCGTCTACATGTTTCTTAACAAAAATTAACTTTTATCCATGCAAATAAATACATTTTTTAAACAAAAGATTAGTTTGGGCTACATCATTGACAAACTTGTGTCATGTAAAACGACCTCTAACAAAAAAGAATGTATGCTTTCGATTTTTATTGAAGATTTTAATTTTCAGTTTAACGTGATTGATATTTCATTATTTTTGTCCCTAACTTTAAGTAGCATGATATTAAAAAAAAAACAAGTTAAAATTTACAAATATTGAACAAACATTTACGATTAACACAATGAACAAATCTGTATAAATCATAAACGTGCTTGAGGTCAATACTTTCTATCGATAGGCCAGGTAGCGTATAATCGATATTTTCAGATACTAATCAATAAAAAGCAATCACTGCTCCAAAAAGACAGTAATACTTGCTGTTATTTATTAGTTGTATTTACGTATTGGTAATGTAAAAAGAAAGAAGAAAGCAAGAAAAAATAATATAAAGTATTTATTGAAGATAGTGTCATGATTTCTAAAAAAAAATTGTGTCAATTCTAAAACAAACGTATAAACCAAAATAAAACAATAATTGTGTAATAGACGAAGCACTAAGCATAAGGACAAAGTAATCCCGTAAAATTTTCAATATCTTCTGCTCATTTGGATATGTTGATTCCATGGAACCTTTCTTATCCGAATTACTTGGTCTTTAGTCGTCTTCAGTTTGGCCTTCTTCGCGTTTGTCTACATCACTTTTGTCTTCATCACTTTCCTCGTGTATCGCTTTCTCAGACAGAGCAATTGATTCTTCTAGTTCTTGCATCAGTAAATCAAAATCGTTTTTCTCTTCGTCATTGCAACTTTCCTCATCATTCGCCTTTAGCGCCAACTCAATTGCATGTTCGACTGTTTCTTGTATACAGTCAACATTACTTTTATCCGTACGGCTTTCTCTGTGTTTGTCTTTATTTGTTGTTGCCCCACTAGAGTTGCTTATTTGAATAACTGTGTTTTCACTCTCATTAAATGTGTTGTTACAGCTAGTGATTGTGTTTCCTGACTCGGTGATTTTGTTTCCTATCTGAATGACAGTGTTTCCTACTTGGTTTGTTTCGTTCCCTGTCTCCGTAGTCACGTTTCCTTCTTGTTTTATTGTATTTCGTGATTGAAACACAAAGTTATCACATTGCTTTGACCGATTTCCTGTTCTTGTCTCCACATTCCTTATTCGCGTTACACTGTTTTGTTTTTGAGTGATAATATTTCCATATTTTATCTTACTATTTGGTTGGTGAGACTTAGCGTTTGATCTATATAAGTCGAGTGATGTTTCACTGGGAACTTTTTGCGTGTGTGTGATCTTGGTAGTCGTGTCATCGATATGTGTTTGCGTGGCGACGTTTATTGTTAGAATGTCAAAGTTTGGAGTGTCGGTTCCCCTGTTGATGGTTGTTGTGCCACAGAGATACGTTTGAGACGCAACGCTAATTGTAAGAATTCCTGTGTCAGTTTGTTTGTTTCGTAGTACGGGTTCTCTTTGTGTATCCATTTTGAAAATACAGAAAAATGTGTAGGATAATTAATCCAACTGTCTTTGTCTTTTTTTAAAAATTGTACTTAATCTCGTAGTTTTTTTAAACACATAATTAAAAATATTTTTCATGGTTATATAAAGTCCATGTCTAATGAATTTATTTTGGTTTAAGTTTTCGATCTTCCAGCTCCCGAATGAAGCGGCATAGGTGTTTTATTTTGTTCTGGACTATCTTTAATCTAAAAGTAAAACAAAGGCATTTCCATTAATTTATATTTTAGCTTGCATATTTTACAACATACTATCAATTTCGTGGGACGACAGTCGAGTGCTAAAATGGCAACCCGAAAATTTCGAGTTAGAATCCATCAATAGAACGCCCTATACATTGTTTCGGATTTCCATAGGCATGTGCGTTGATGTCTGTTCGTTGAACACACTTTACCAATATTTAATATCAAGTAAAGTTTCGCACAGTTCTAAAAAATAAAAGCGAAACGAAAAAATGCACTAAGCATAGTGCTGACAGGAACATCCATTCATATGCAGAGGTCAAGAAACATATGACCTCTACTTCATCTGCCGAGTGGATCGTTAAGTCTAAGATGAATAATTACTTGTTTTTTTTTTAAACAATTTAGCAAACAATATTTATTAGATAAATGGTTGGCATATGATTTTCAAATGATCAATATTCATCATCATTACATTTAATGAAATACCTATGCCATTATCATAGTTTCTTAATGTAATTTTTCGTCCCTATTGTCTGTGAATATTAATGTCTCTCATCTTTTGTCCCATCGGACCTCATAATATTTACATTTTGTCATTCGTTGCTTACTATTACATACATACCCCGGAACTTAAAATTCAACTAAAATTATTTTGAACTTCATTTTATAGGAAAAAGAATTAAAATGAAACCAATGTACATACATAATGAAATAATCATTAAACAAAATTATTTTTACTTACATACAATTATACTGACTGTAGTAAATTCGCTACTTTAACTGGGAAATATTTTGTTTTGCTTTTTGTCGAAATAATTCTTATTTGTGAGTGTATAGTTTCTACATTTAGATTGCCAATCGATTAATGTGTGTAACATTTCCGTTAGAAATATCAGTCTAAAAGGCTTTAGGTAAATCTATTTTTTTAAAAAGCAAGTAGGCCTATATTAAAGTCTCCAAATAAATTGAAACCTTTTACCTGTCAGGCTAGTGTATCCACATACGCCGATCAGGTGCAATAAAGACGTAAGTGTAAACTAAGCCGTATCGATTTTGTTTCAACCGATTGAATAACTTGAATGTTAAGTATGATCCTAACTATACATTAAAAGCGCGCTGTACTATTTAAGCGAAATCGATTTAATATTTTACACAAGTTTGTTTAGCAATTTATGGCAGCAATACCTGTTATGACTTTAATGATTATTAGATAAATTGCAATAAAGTGATTTGTTCTTTCTTGCACAATAAAAATAACACTTGTTGCATATGCTTAGTTCAGATTTCGTCTAGATTTCTGAAGAAACTGATTATTTACAGCGCCTGGGAGTATTTAAACTTACAATCCACATTCTTTACCTCACTTATTTACAAACAACGGTCATTGAAATAAGCATGACGTATAAGAATATTTGTGAGAGTACTTGATTTTTTTTTTACAATAATATACCATGTTAAAAACGAATAAATGTATACCACCTATAACTGGTTGCACAACAAGTCTGTGCTAGCACTGTTAGCTAAAGCTGAATAAGACTGTTGTTAACACACATTCAATTGTATACAGTGTTTATTTCAGTTTTTTTTCCGGTTGAAAGCACTTAAAACTTGAGGGCGGGGGGGGGGGGCACTTAAATGTTCGGGGGGAGGGAGTCAAACACTTGTTACAGTAAAGTATATTATCTCTTTAAAACATATTTCTTCAGTTTCGCTCTTGGTGTGATATACTTGCTTCGGTTGGGACTCCCCCACCCATTCCCGACTGAAGAGATGATCCCTGATAGAAACTCTGTATGGCACGACGATACAGTGTTGTCAGCATATTATTGTCGTCTTATGAGGAGTGTGTGTAAAAATTACTGCAAACTAGCTACAGTAATCTCAATAAAACAGATATTGTTAGTCACCTCACAAGTTAAAGACAATTACCTATAACTATCTTTAACTTGTGAGGTAGCTAACATTATCTGCTTAATAACTAATTGCATTAACGTCACTGCAATTACCGTTTGTATCAATCGCAATGAAGTAAGCATTCTTGAAAAAGGGATATTTTTGTTTAGTTTGTAGTTATTCCTCCGTTTGAATTAGAGGCCAACAAGTAAACATGAATTACAACAACAAGTCAAATTAGTACTTCAATTAAGTATTATATAATAGGCCGACTACAGTTTGCAAAGAACACACATTTTATTTATGCTAAAAATCATATATACTATTTCAATAGTTTTAATCTTTTTAAAGAGCAAAAAAGAAAGTACTGGTTGTGAATTATATAAGCGAATAAAAATTATTTATAAGTGAATTACAATATACACTTATCAAGAGGAAACGAAATTATATACACCAAGCTAAGTAAATGATGTAGATGTTTAATAATGAATACATCTTGCACATCTTTTTTATAAAAAACAAATAAAAGAAAATATTTAAAAAAAACATAGACCTACATTACCAACTAAATAAGTTATTTAATAACCTTGGTTTATTAAACTTGCTTACAAAAAGCTAAGCTTTTAAAACTTAAGTATCCGCTGTAGAAATTTACATTTGGTCTTTTAATTTCTTTGCAACATGCGGGTATTCACTTTCTAAACAATTTATGAACTCAGGAAATGCTCTCCGTGGTCCAGAGTCTAATAATTTATCTAGTAAAACACGTGTGCGATCCTTTCTATACTTCTGTTCCAGAATTTCGTTTTGAGCATCCAAGTCTATGATACATTTAGAAAACAGGTGCGCTGTTAATTGCTTAGCATCGAGTTCCTCAAGTAAGAATTTATACTCTTTTGTTAATATACTTCTGTGTTTGTCTCTCAGTTTTCCTCGAATGGGTATAGTTTGGTCAGTGGAATCTGTCAACAAATTAGAAAGAAAACAATATAGAGAGAGAATGAGAGAGAGAATGAGAGTGTGAGAGAGATGCAAAGAAGGGGAGAGAGCTAAGATATTGTATATAACATTTCCAAGATACGAATTTGTTTTTACCGTCAACACCCGATGCTTCTGTCGCTTCATCATGATGTTCCTAGATGTTAAAAAGAAAAAAAAAAATATATAAATATAAATCATGTATGAAAGTTGATAAACGTGTACATAGAAAAATGTAAAATTAAGCGGTAATATATATATAATTTTTCACTTCGTGTGTTATTTGATGTCATTTTTTTAAAAATTATTATTTAATTGTGGTGTCAGGAGCTTTTTTTCTATTTACAAGTGGATATTTTATAAATTTAGTCAAACTTGCCTTCTATAAAATCATTACTCAAATATACATTTTAACATATCAAGCCAAACCAAACTACAGATTGTAGAGATCATAAAACCAGCTGTATCTGGGTTTTTGCTATAATTATATGTGTGTTGTTTTAAATGCATATATGTATCCCTTATACGTATATAAAATAACTGGTTAACTTACGTCGTATTCTGTCTCATTTGTTACATTTCCTGATTGATAGGTAAAGTTCCCTTCCTCAGTAATTTCATTATCTCTCTGATACACATCACCACTGGCAACATTTGAAGTGTTCCCTATCTCTATCACCGTGTTTCCCTTCTTTGTGATCTTATTGCCTATCTGTGTTATGTTTCGACCTCTCTGGTTCGGACGTGGCATGTATTCATCTTCTACTGACTTGTTGGCCGCCATATTAAAGCCTCAATTAAGGCTTTTAGCCTGAAATTTCACAAACCATTTTATAGTGGCAAGAATTTTTAAAAAAAAAAATGCAAACTCTAATAGATTTAACTCTTGAAAATAAAAAATAATATACTTAATTCTTGTGGATATTTAAACTATTAGACACATACCCATTTACATTCACGCTTCTAAGTAAACTATAAAACAAAGCATAAATATATCAATATTTTCAAAAATTTGCTTTTTAAGATTATAATTGTTTTTTTTAATCATCACCTATTGCAGTTAATTAATCATTAAAAATACATTAGATAAGTTGTTTTTTTTAAAAAACCGTTTATTTTGGATTTGTAGAAGCAAATAATATTGCTTCTGCATTGGCAACATCTCAAAAAATTTAAATAAGCAAATAACATACAGGAAATTCCTAAACTTATAACTCTAATGAAATATAGCGTAATCATGGCTAGTGTAAAACAACTCAAAAAACTTAAGCTCACACATTAAATATGAACCATTAATATAGTTATTCCAAAAAGTATTTGGCTAACACTTCGAAATGAAGAATGTCGAGTGATATAAGCGAAATAACACCCACGTAGCAGCGAATAATATCTACATGATTTAACATACACAGTACGTAACAGCAATATTCGAATTAGTAGTGGCGATTTGGGGTTTCTATGCAATTTGTGGGTTACCTTGGAATCGATTGATTTATCCCCTTTCTAGAAGCCCGTAAAATCAAATTAAATTTAATAAAAGAAATAGCTCTGTATACCAATAAAGAATCACCATTTCTACTTACTGTGTCTGGCTGTGAATCTAAACTAATCATTAAAACATGAACGTTGTACAAGCGAATGCAGTCGAACGAGTATCGATTTATTTTAAATACCGCATTTCAAGGAAGACCAAAACACGAGACTCTGTGTTAAATAACCAATATATATTGGAAATTATTTAGCCCCTTTTGGGATTTAAAAAGGAAACGTCACAGTGAAAAAGAAGTTCTTTTTCTAAATATATAAATCATGTTTATTTTTTTAGAATTAACTGGACGTTTTGAAGATTCCGTTTCTGCTCATTTTACTACATTACGTTTAAAATATTAATTTACAAATACATGTGACAATACATAATACAATTTCCGTTAGAATAAACGGAGATGTATTATAATACAGATCTGCTGTTTTAGTCAAAAGTATCTATTACGTAATAATTTATATGTGGTTGTCAATTGGGTATTATTTAAATAAATTTAAGTTGTCTAAATAACCATCATTATAATGTGTGTATTACTGTGATGTATATTAAACTATTGAAAATATTGGTACTTTTATTCTGGGTACCAGTGGCGGAACTAGAAAAAAAGGCTCCCCCGCAAAAAATGGGCCCCCCTATATATATATATATATATATATATATATATATATATATATATATATATATATATATATATATATATATATATATATATATATATATATATATATATATATATATATATATATATATATATATTAGTAGCCTGTTTCAATAAATTTTAAATAATCTATTTCATGAGTAGTTTAATCTGTTTCGTTGCAATATATAACCACCCTGAGACAACAAACTAGACAAAATTATGTCCAAACTCATTTCGGGGCTTGAAATCAACGTGATTTTTTCTAATGCAAACTGCTATTGTCTTGGCTAAACATTTAATTGACAAGCTATATCATAACCAATCTCAGAGCCAGTGGCGAAACAAATCATATAAAATATATGAATACTATAGTAAATATATATTTACCATAATCGTTTTGTACGTTGGTTAATTTATTAATGTCATTATTTACCTAGAAACAAAACAATGAATTAAATACAAAAAAATTTATATGCATTTAAATATTTTAACGTACCAAATCGAGAAACAATAGTCAGTCATGCCCCTAAACTTGCACCTAAGCTCAAACTTGACAAAAGTCGCATTTAAAGTTTCTTTCAGGCAACGCTTCGGGAGGGTGGAGTGGACATAGAATTAAATGTATAATGAGAGCAAATGTGTAGGAATATTTGTTTTTTTAGGGGGATTCCACGTTCTATTCTTAGATATAATTGTTACACATTTTGTAATAAGTCTAGCTGTTTTCTACGTAAAACTCCGTGCCAGCTTATTCTTTTTTTCCTAAACCAAAACAAAGTAATAAAAAGCAAATTCCCCCCCCCCCCCCCCCCCCATGTAATGTTTTTTTTAAAGGGAAGCAATTATGTTTTCCTAATTTGTCAAGGGAAATAATGAGGCTAAAAGATTAAATGTAAATAAGATTCAGACACAATTAAATTTTTTTTTAAACGTTGATACATTTGTTTTTATTTTGTTTGATGGACATATCGACGATTATTAATATAATTTTGGAAAATGAAAATTTAATACATGCAATTCAATCTATTATTCAAACACTTACAAGGTGTCTTAGACTTTCTTCTATTCCCGTTAGCTAAAAATAGTTCTGACCGAACACCATTGGCCTACTGTATACATGTAGAATTGGCAGTTGAATAAATTTAACATACCACTCAACAACACCGACATTTTAGCTGTAGGCGTCTACCCGTCAAACCAGTTTCGAACGTCCCTCGGCTAGATTTAGTCTGAACTATTGATTAAATTACACACTGCAAAATCAGTCATGCATAATTTTCTCACCCGACTGTATCAGCTGACTTGTTTGTGTGTGATTGTGTTATTTTTCTAAATTAGCCTGTATGTTCTTGTGGCAAAAATTATTGAATTTATAGCAAAGGCGAACTTTAAAACTTCAATCTAAACATATGTTAAACTAGTAACAAAAATCAGCAAAAGCTCTATCGGACAAATGGGACAAATACAATAGAAAGTATCTCATCATATGAAGTGTTGTGTCTGCACTATGCTCATTAGCGTCGGTTTCCTTAACGTGAGTCAAGAAAACGATCAGTACTAACTAGACTTAGATATTTTCAACAGACTCTAACAGGAAAGCATTTTTATAGTTTAGAAATTACAAGCGATTCCACCCAGAAATTAAGTACTCTTTTTTTCTGTAACAAATGGTCTGGCTAGCCATGTTTCCAGAGAGTAGTAATTGATTTATTGAATGTCAAATATATTGATCCAACATAATGACAAAAACTAATGAAAGACAAAATATATTAAAAGGAAACCAATAAATCGACGTTTAATTCGTTTTTGTTTTTAAAACTACATTGCGATCATTTCAATCATAGTTTGCCCATTCATGTTTATTCATAACAAAGTATGTTTAACTGGACATTAACATCAGCAGAATTTAATAAGCAATGCATAGCCATATGTGCTTTACTTAGTCTGCTAATGATTGAATGATTATTGTCTTGAAAATGTAAACCTTAACCCATTTTAATTTTTACATTAAAAGAAATTAAATGTGAATGAAACAGTAGAAGAGAAAAAAAATGGGAACTCAGTTTTAATACAGTCATCAACGCAAAACAAAATACTAGTCCAAAGTAATTGTTGGTTAATTTAATAATTATTTCAATTTAAAATGTCTAATCTACAGAAAATGTATAAAAATGCATTATTATTTAACTTAACTTTACAATATAGCATGTTATAAATAGCAAGTAACTTGCTTTTATGCACCATGCAAATTAAAAACCAGTATGATTTTATTTTAAATTAAACAACATAAATGGTGAGAGCTTTTTGCGGCACAAAAAGGAGACCGTGATAAGATTATATGACAAGTACAGAGGCTGTTTACTAAGTATAAACAAGTTATAAATTCAATAGGTCAAGCTAAATTTTAAATATTCCTTGATACCAAAGTATTGTTGTAAAACATACGAATGAAATATAGTCTAATTCATAATAATAATTACAATGACTAACTCATTAAATAAAGTCATAATGATAGCGAATTTTTATTTTATTTTAGTTTTTAATTATTAAATGTTGGTTTTCAGTTGATTATCGTATAAAAGCTAGAAACAATACTTCACATAAAACTCATACCAATACGATACATTTCATTTAAAAAATACCACACATATCTGAAGAAATAAAAACAACAGACTTATAAATGATTTGAATCAGCATTTAAAGTCTTTTGTACGCAATGATGTACTCAGGCAAGCACAGTCTTTTATCATAGATGGCGAATTTACGGAAAATTCCATTTCCGTCTGACAATACGGAGCCTTGGGGCGCACTCGGCACATCTGCAGGCCCTGCAAGATACAAGAGTGCAATACATTGCATATTTCGGCTTTTTCTTCTGTTGTGTAGGTACAGTACTATTGATTATAAAACATCAATTAATTTAATTTTGTGTGTGTTTTTCTGGACCTAATTTCCATGTATGTTTTAAAATTATAAAATATTTCTAGAGTTTTTTTTTTTCAAAATCTACACAGCTGTCTGTATTTTAGTTAGTAAAATAATGATAAATGATTATATGGCCCATATAAATGTTAGTGTATGAAATTTTAGAATTCTATGAAAAGTTTTTTTAAGAAGGCCATGTTGCCATGGCAAACATATTTTCAAATGAGTCCCTGTTGCTTGCAAATATTTTCCTTTAAGTACTCCAACTTAGATATACACAGATAAATAAAACGTATTATTTACTGAGGTTTTTTTTTTTCTTGAGCCTACTTTAAGTTTTTAATTTTTTAAATTAAAACACTTTTAATGATGCATTTTAGGTGAGCATAGCTATATTTATTTTAAAGAGACATAGTTTAAAGTCAGCACCTTTACTTGAAGTTATTGTTCCATCTTTCTCACAAGCTTCCCCAAGTATAGCCCTGACAAGAAACATCGTGCGGATCTCATCGCCAAAATCTAAACAATAATTAGAAAAAATACAATTAAAGAATTATTTTATTTACTGGCATTATTGTACTAATGAACACATTCTACTAGAGGGAATATGTATAGAAAAAAAAACTACACAATAAACAGTAAAATTTAAATGTGTAGTGCAAATCGTTTTTCTTAAGTTAATTTTTACTTTGTAGTTAGCTCTTCATCAGTAAAATAAAAACGTTAAATGCAGTCAAGTCTGTAATAGCAATAAATAAACCAACTGCAATTTAATTTTTTCTAAAGACAGTACATAGATATGTGATAACTCAACAAACAGTATATAGTTATAATCAGTGAAATGGAAAAAAGGCAATGGTAATATGAGCTTACAATTGTTACCCAATGATTCTATCATTACAAGAAAAATGTTATCATAATAGACTAATCAGTTACCCGTGTATTTGTCCGATGTTGTTGAAGATTCCGTACAGATCACAGCGTTACCGTACTCGTCTTTAGCGCTGGTGTTAATTGCTGGGTCCAGTCCTTTAGTTGACATGGCATCGACCAGGCAGGAACTGACGCCATGGAACAGGTAATGTTCGTTGATGACGTCATCCAGCTGGGCTCTCATGGATGTCTCAAGGTGTCTACTGGTCATGACATCACCAAGTTTTACACGCTGGTGAAGTGGTAACGTACTCAGCCGTTGGTGTATTTCTGCTCTCTTTGTTTGGTACATCAGTTTAATTTTTTCATTGTTGATTTTCAGAACTTTTACAACCACTGGACGCATATTTCCCAACGTCCATGTTTTAACTAATAAATTCTCCACTGATGATTTAGTTTTAGAATCGACTTCAACATACTGATGCTCTAAATTGTCGATGGCTGATTTCGTTTCATTATTGATAACAAAAAATACATACTGTCCATCAACGGTTTCTTTAATTTTTTTGCCGACATCAGCGTAATGATATTTTCCACCATCAACTGCCACTTTACTGACATCAGCGTAATGATGTTTTCCACCATCAACCTCCACTTTACCGACATCAGCGTGATGATGATTTCCACCATCAACTGCCACTTTACTGACATCAGCGTGATGATGATTTCCACCATCAACAGCCACTTTACTGACATCAGCGTGATGATGATTTCCACCATCAACCTCCACTTTACTGACATCAGCGTAATGATGTTTTCCACCATCGACTGCCACTTTACCGACATCAGCGTAATGATGTTCTCCACCATCAACTGCCACTTTACTGACATCAGCGTGATGATGATTTCCACCATAAACTGCTACTTTACTGACATCAGCGTAATGATATTTTCCACCATCAACTGCCACTTTACCGACATCAGCGTAATGATGTTTTCCACCATCAACTGCCACTTTACCGACATCAACGTAATGGAGTTGTCCTTCAGACGCTGGTTGGACATCACTGTCATTAAATATAAATGGTCTCCAGCGGGTAGATTCAGGAAAGAAACTCTTCATTCTGTACCCTGTAGTCGGTGCCGTGAACGCGCCTAGTGGTATGTCCGGAATTGAAAAAGCCCCAACTCCGCTCATATCAACACTATCCTCTGTACTTTTTTGTTTATTTTCTTTTACATTGTTTTCATTTCCGGAGTCGTTTATTTTCTGTCCAGTTACATTTACGGTGTTATCGACCTGATTTACTGTTTGATCCGATACTTTTAGCTCTGTTCCGGTTTGATCTGAAGATTTTCCGGACAGGTGTATTGTGTTTCCGGTTAAATTTATCTCGTTACCTGCCTGATTTAAAGTGTTGTCCGTTTGTGTTATCGTGTCCCCTGTCTGGTTGATTTCGCTTCCGGTCTTACTAGCATCGTTTCCGGTCTGATTCAGTGTGTCTCCGGATTCAATAATCGTATTTCCGGTTAGATTTATATTGTTTTCCGATTGTTTTACAGTGTTACCTGTCTGGTTGATTGTATCACCTGATTGATTTACTGTCAGTCCAGATTGTTTCGAACTGCCCCCAATCTCATTTGTTGTATCCCCAATTTGATTGATTGTGTGTCCAGTTTTAGTTATCTTATTATCCTTCATCTTTACTTTGTTGCCTCTCTGCTTTACAGTATTATCTCTCTGATGTACCGTATCTCCTGTCTGATTTACAGTGTTGCCTTTCTGATTTACAGTAGCCCCAGACATACCCTCCCCGCCTTCTACCTTATTGACAGTATCTCCTATTTGGTTTATCGTATGCCCTGACTGAGAGATAGAATTTCCCGACATTTCCACATCATTGTCTTCCTGTTCTACTGTATTTCCTTCTGTAGTGATTGTGTCTCCTTTTTGATTTACAATGTTCCCTTCTTGACTGACTGCAACACCCGACATTCCATTCCCCAAGTCAATCTTATTTGAAGTATTTCCTGTTTGATTTACACAATGTCCAGATTGTCCGTATGTGTTATCTCCCTGTTCTGTAGAATTTTCCGTTTGGCTACCATTCACGCCTTGAGCATAGTAGCCGCTTGCGGTCCCCTTCGTAGGACCCGTTCCTCGGCCTCCAACCACATTTAGACTCACACCTGGCACACTGACCCCACTGTTAAACCTGTCGTCAGTTACACTTGACCCACCCCCACTGCTTTGAAAACCTCCTCTATTCGTCCTGTTTCTTGCATGAGTCCCGTCACTTTGTATGATGTCAGAACTTGTCTCTTCTTGGTGGTCCGCGTCATCCTCTGTGTGCACATTGTGAACGTTATGTTGCATCATCTCGTTGTACATCCATGCTGCTATACCATACACCCAGAGACAAACCTTAAGGAGGTTGTTTAATGTCATACCTAGCAGTGACTGGTTACTTTCTTTGCTATTTCTTTCCATCTCCAGAATAAACGCAGTTTTGTTTAGTATCAGTGAGATAAATTAGTCATACACATCAGGATATATTTCGATCTTTGTTTTAGCTTCCATAAAAGGTAACGTCCATTTATATTAAGTTCTGAACTTTGCCTTATTAAAAAGCAAATAAGATTCATTTTATTTTCATAAGCTACAAGTACAATGAAAAAAAAATTACAACTATGATTCAAATAATTATTAAATACCCCAAAAAATGCATTTGTTTATTATAAGTACGAATTTTTCAATTTTATGTTTATTAGATAATTATTTGCTAGATTAATATAAATTCTTCACTTTTTTAAAATGTGTCTTTTAGGCTAAAAAATCAAAAATAAAATGTTACTTACGCAACAATTATTAATATCACGATATCATCTATATTGAAATATCGATACTAAAAACATTAATCCTTAATCTTAACTCTACATTAAAACCATTAAAAAAACAACTTTCCACACCTAGCGACTGTGTCAACACTCTTCTATCGTTTGACGCTTACGCCGATTTGGAAGCTTTAACATTGAAAACTCTTCAGATCAGTCATGGAGTTGTAAGTTATAAATATAAATATGAAGAGTTGCGTCTGTTTTTATACGAACCTACGTCCCAACACGTTATGTTTACTGAGTGACGTCACTGAAGAAGAGTAGAGGACAACCTCGATACAACAAAACAAAAAAAAAATCAATAATTGTTTTGATAGATCAGGTATGTTCATAAAGCCCCATTCCAACTTCACGCCTACATGCATTATATGTTAACTGTGATGGGTGAAAATGATAAACACAAATAATAATTGTGTTAAAAATATAAAAAGAGAGAAGCAGAATAATATTGCATTTTAGTCTAACGTTTAAGCTCTAGTTGGAAAATTTTGGTTTATGTGTCGTATGTGTTTCTAAATATAGATCCTTAGACTAATATATGTTATGTAAGTAAATCTAACAGTAAACACAAACTGTTTGACCTTGCGCTATTTCAGACACACAGACACGCATTACTGACTAAATCATATTATTAAAGAGCAACGCCTATTAAAAACATTATCTAGTTAGTTTCAAAATAAAGAAGTAATTAAAATATTGATTAGTGTACATTTACTCAAGTAAATCGTAATTAACATTTAGAACTTTGCCGAAAAAATCAATAAAACGTGATTACATGTTCTATTTATATCTTATTTATTATAAAATGACGAGGGTCGACACTTGTAACTAAATCAAGTACAATCTGACAAGCTATTCAGAATCTGACAGTTGAATATGTTTGAACAAGACCTTGCGAGAACACGACACATTGTATGTGTTGATCTCTATATTTAGGCATACTTGAAATAAACCAACATTTAAAAGGCTATAGCATTTACGCCTTAATGTGTATTTTATTAACACTTAAACGTTGTATGCTGTTTATTTGCGGTTTCTTTTATATTTGTTTCTTCGTTGATAATTTATAATTTTAAAACTTACCACAAGCACATACATTTTTTTCCACAAAAGTTTCGATGGTGTATAACACTTAGTGAAGATCAATTTTGAACAAATTTGAATTATATGACCGTTAAACACAAGTAATTAACAAAGAAATACATGTACCAAAAGTGTAACGTGATGCCTAGCATAAACGATCGATTTAGGAGATCGGTAGGGGGGGGGGGGGTATAGAGAGGCGGAACTGGTGGTAGTTTATACAACGAGTTTCTCTGTATAAAATAACCCGGAAACTAAAGGTAACGCCTGACGTAAACAAACGTTATAAATTACCCGTAAACAGTTTAAAAGATCGTCGTTCTCTACATTTCTACATCGTATCAGAGAGAATAAATATCCTAACAGATTCGACACAACATATATTTCTTGAGTTATTTAAGCAAACAAATACAGAAACAAACTAAAATAAAGCACAATTGTTCATTACAAATCTAAATTTCTTGGAAAACAACAAGCATTGAATTGACTGTATTGATCCAAGCAAAATAATCAATACTCATCAATAAATAAATATTTGAGCTTTCTTTGTTTAGTTGGAACTTTAGGGAAAAAATCAATTTTTAAAAATCGATTATTTAGATAGCTGTTAAAAACTAATTGAAGCAAGATTTCAAACATTACTCGTTTACATGGGGCATGTCTAAAAATAGAAAGAGTAAGAATTAGGTGTGCAAAATGGATGTCACTATATACCACTGCAATTCCTGCCTGTGTATAATCCACAGTTTGGTAATCATTTGAAAAAAATTCTTTCTTATGCTCCGTTTTTAATTGAATGTTGGACAGGAATTTTTTAATGCAATTTGTTTTAATGCATTTTGTTTATTTATTTAGTGACGTGTTTGTTTTGTTGATGGTATTATTTAATGTGTTTCCAAAATGTAATTAAGGTATTTTTTCGTGAGCTGCATTGTTTTCAGCAATACCTATTAGTGCTTCCTAATTGTGTATATACAGTCCTAAACAATCGGTAAGATTTGTTTCAATTTTTTTCTCAAAACACGATTGTTTTATACTTATTTTAGATCGATCATAATGAGAAAGCAAACGATGAGAAAGCATATATATATATATATATATATATATATATATATATATATATATATATATATATATATATATATATATATATATATATATATATGATATGATATTAATTGATCATTTCTTATTAATTTCATGCTGATTAAGACTACTTTAGCCAATTGCAGATTGTATTTAGGTTTAACGAATATATTTTATTGAAATTAACCGTAAAATTATACATGCAACAAGGCTAATCAAGAAAATTTTCTAAGAGTTATATTTAATTACTCGATGTTATATTCCGCGCTAAGTATGATTACATAACACCTTATGTCCATAAAATATTATATTACGTTTTATTAAATGAATATGGTTTTGGAGGTTGGAAGTTTAAAAAAAAATTATTTAGCTTTTTTAAAATATGCACTTTTATCGCTCCTTAACATTTATAAAAGGAACAACGGAAATAATTCAGTACATATTTTTTATTTATGTAAAACACAATTTTAAAAAGAGGGAACACATAAGGATTGTGCTTTTAAAAAATTACGTATATATCTAGGTTAAGGCTTGTAAGTTTATAACTATTACCATAATAATTTATACAATATTTCTGAATGCAGCGCTATTGTTTCCAAATGTATTGCTAAATAACACAGCCTGTAATTATAAAGTGCTATTGCTGTAAAGTTTTTATCACAAAGAGACAAATTGACATCAGTAGAACCCTGCCATTCTCTTTGCGAGTTGAAGAAACAGCGAATTAGCTGCCATTCTTAATGTTAAAATCCGTTAAAGGCAATACAGAAGATGGCAGCAAACTATCCAACGATGTGGTTGTAAATGACTCGGTAAAAAGTATTTTAAAATGCATTTGCTTTCAACTTTATTATGTTACGAAATACACACACATTAATAAACGAAACACGTATTTAACTTATTCTAAATATTAATTTTCAAAAACACGTTTTTTTCTTTTTCTTTTAACATTTGGAAACTATAACAATATATGCTTACATCTCAGTACGTAACACATAAACACACAATTGTAAGAGTTGTATTATAAAATAAAGTTACAAATCACACTATCTTTTAAATGCATACATATATTTTCTGAGCAAAAAAACCACAGCAATAATACTAGAGCTGTGGAGATCATACATAGCAACTGAGCAGAATAATTTCTATTATGCATAGTGTGATAGATACGTTAACAAATTAACAATAACAAAAAAAAACTTATTTTAAGTTGGTAGATTAAGGTACCAAGTCAAAAGTGTTGTTTTAATATTAACTTATATATGTCGTGCTATTATGTGTAAAATATGCAAGGGAACTTAGCATGTCAGTCATTTTCTATAACGTTATTAAGGTAGCGTCCCTTATTTTATTTTTATTTTTTTCGAAATACGTTAACATATCAAAGTTTAAAAGATATTGTTATTTTGACAGAAATAAGTAATTTGTCCACAGTATATCTGTGTTGTTCATCATTCAAGAACTAACCATAAACATAGTGTGTAGTTTTTTATCATCGAAGGAATTAAGCAGCGCTATTTTCTTAAATTTGTTGATTTATTAAAGACATCTACTACATTTTTGTTAAAGTAAATATAGAGATACCTTTAAATCGAAATGAAACAACTGTGAAAAAAACATTAAGAGCAAAATATCTTATATAAAAGTCGATATAGTATGCATAAAAATATAATAATTAGTTAAACTTAAACAATATGCATTGAAAATAACTTTAGTGCAATTTAATGAATTGTGCATTAGTGAATATTTTCACCCACAACGAATTCTTTAATACTGTCCGCTTCAACATACGTATTTTCGTCACACAGGTCGTCATTGATTTCGTCTTCATCGCTATCGTCGTCATCCTTTTCCTCGCTTATAACTCTTTCAGACCGAGCTATTGATTCCTCTAGTGCTTCCAAAAGTAAATTAAATTCAGTTTTGTCTTCATCATTGCTTCTGTCCTCATCAATTTCGTCTTCTACAATGTCACTTGCATATTTCACTAATGTTTTTTTCAAATCTTTAATATTACCCTTTCCCGTAAGAATACCTTTGTGGTTGTCATTTGCTGTCGAGTCACTAGCGTTGTTTATTTGAATAACTGTGTTGTCTCTCTGTTCAAATATATTTTCACGGCTATTTACCTTATTTCCTGATTCTATGGACTTAACTCCAATGAGAATAATATTGTTTCCACTTTGAATTGTTTGATTCCCCGTCTCCGTTGTTACGTTTTCTTTCTTTATTATATTGTTTTTAGCTTGGAAAATAAAATTACCGACAGAAGTGAAAACATTTCTTTTTTTAGTAGTAGTGTTGTTTGTATTTACTATCTTATTTTCTGTTTGAATGACGATGTCTCTTTTGTCGGTCTTTGTATTGGTTGTTTGTGTCTCCGTGTTTGGTGGTGTTTGTGTGTCATGGGCGTTTGTGATACTGTTGTCTTTGTGTGTGTGTTCAACAATGGCTTGTGTAACAGCACCATCTTTGGGTTTCAGGGTTTGTGGCTTGCCTTGTCTAGTGTCATCCTTGTGTGTTTGTGTGTTTAGTGTTGTGTCAAAGTGATGTGTTTGCGTTGCTGCGTTGATCGTTAGAGTGTCAAAGTTTGGTGTTTGTGTAGCAATGTTTGTGGACCGTGAATAAGAGTTATGTGTCTGAGATGCAGCGTTTATCGTAAGAGATTTTGTGAGCTGGTTTTGTATGTCAGGTGCTATTTGCACACCTTTCGCTTTTTTATTCATTTCAAAAGTTAAAAGACAGTTGGGGCTAGAAAATTGCTTCTTATTGATCTGATTTATTCAGGTAAAAATGTGTTTTATATGTGGACCCAAACATTATAAATTATAACTTATCAACGTCTGAGAAACGTGTTCAAACTATTCGTCCTTGATCCGCCAGCTTTCTGATTAAGTGTATAGAGTCTTGTTCTGGATAGTGTTTTGTCTGGAATAAAACATAACTCTCTTAA